TTTTTTTTTTTTTGGTTTGGTTTTTTAAGACAGGGTTCTCTGTGTAACAGTCCTGGCTGTTCTGGAACTTACTCTGTAGGCCAGGCTGGCCTTGAACTCACAGAGATCTGCCTGCCTCTGCCTCCTGAGTGCTGGGATTAAAGGCGTGTGCCACCACTACCCGGAAAATATCTTTCACTCTTTTTTTAAATCTTTTACTCTTATTCCTGAACTAGTAAGGTTAAGCATAAAAATTTAGTGGACAGTTAATTTATTCCAGTCATTTGACAAAATTTCATTGTCTTCTTCCTTCTTGCATAGCTGTTAAATTTTTTTGTTAGTTTAATTATTAGTACCATGCATTTTCTCTCTGGATACCTTTATCATTTTCTTTCTCTTTTGTACTATTCAGCTTTAGTGAAATGTGCTTAGGTGTGAGTTTCTGCTTCTCCTGCATCAGACTTTTATTTCCTTCAAATATGCATGCTTTTCTGTTTTTTCAATATTATGTATATGGGTGTTTTGCCACCATGTATGTTTGTGTACCTAGTGCATGTCTGGTGCCTGCAGAAGCCAGAAGAGGGCATCAGATCCCCTGGAACTGGAGTTACAGACAGTTGTAAGTTCCAAACCTAGGTCCTCTGTAAGAACAATGTGTTGGTCACTGTTCTATTGCTGTGAAGAAACACCATGACCAAGGCAACTTATAGAAGAAAGCATTTAATTGGGAACTTGCTTATAGTTTCAGAGGGTGAGTCTGTGTCCATCATGATGGAGAACATGGCAGCAGACAAGCAGGCATGGCACTGGAGCAGTAGCTGAGAACTTACATCTTACCCAAAAATTGGAGGAAGAGAGCCAGAGAGACTAGGCCTGTCATGGGCTTTTGAAACCTCAAAGCCCACCCCCACCCTCCTTAACATACCTCCTCCAAAAGGCCATACTTCCTAATCCTTCCCAAAACAGTTCCAACTGAGAACCAATTATTCAGAAATATGAGCCTATGGGTGCCATGTTCATTCAAACAACCACAAGCAACAACAGCTCTTAACCAATGAGCCATATTTAGGCTTTTCAGCTTCTCAGTCTTTCTTTTTGCTTAATAACTCTCCAGGTCACCTGTTGTTTTTCTTTCAGTCATGTCCAACTTGAATTTTTTTAAAGCATTTAACTATTTCTGCCTACCTTTATGTGTTCTGCCTTACTCCTCTCCCAAGTACTGCCTCTCTGTGTATGTCACTTCTTTATGTGATTTTTCTCCCTCACCTTTTATGGTGAGCTGAATGAGGGTATAAATGTGGCAATTGATGTTCCAAGTACTTCAAAGAAAGCCTTAGAGGAAGCCACCTACCACTGGGGATGATTTTAGATAAGCTTTGTTTTGCTGTCCTGCAATGGTAGCCCCAGGGCTAGAAAGGGGGTGAGATTGCCTATCTTGTCTGCCAAGCCTTGACTCCAAAGGTCCTAGGATGGTCTGCCTCTAGGAAGTGCTAGCTGCTGCCAGAATGTCCAGGTCACAAAGACATGTTGTCCCTTTCTTTGTCTCACTGACAAAAGAAAAGCTATAGGGATATTGGGAAGAAGGGCTAATGTCTCTGCTGCCTACTGTAGCTATGTCTTTGAAGACACAGTGGAAAAGGGGATATTTAGATTTAGCTCACCACAACTTTAGTGCATTAATTTCCCCTCCCCCATTTCCTGGGCCAGGCCCTGAAGGCATCCATCCTGTTCCCTTTCAAACTTGAACTTTTCTGAGCTGATTCTTTGTACCTTTTCCTCCCTGACCAACCCCAGCCATTAATCCACTTGAGGGTCATATATATCCTGGTTACCTCTTCCCATGGCTTCACCTCCCAGAACCCTGGTCCTTTGATGACTCCCCAGTGGACACTCATTATTTATCCATTTACACCCCCTTTCTTCCGTGTTCCTCACCACATTTCCAGGTTCCATGTGTAAAAACCTTGCTCTGGGGCTGGCAAGATGGCTTAGCAGATAAAGGTGCTTTCCCTGAAAACCTAGTGATCTGAGTTTGATTTCTGGGGCCCACATAAAAGTGGAAAGAGATGGGAGATGGCTCAGTGGTTAAGAGCACTGGGTGCTCTTCCAGAGGACCCGGGTTCAATTCCCAGCAACCACATGGCAGCTCACAACTGTCTGTAACTCCAGTTCTAGGGATTCTGACACCCTCATACAGACACACATACAGGCAAAACACCAGTGCACATGAAATAAAAAGAGATAAATTATTTTTTAAAAAGTGGAGAGAACCCACTCCATGAAGTTGTCCTCTGACCCCTACATGTATGCTGTTGTACATGTGTGCCCACATATTACATGTACATATACATGCATACACATACTACTAATAATAATAATAATTTATTAAAGCCTTGCTCTTCTGTGGGTCATAAGGTCTTGAAAGTCAAAACTGTCAACTATGGAGACTTTAAGGGCATGGCCATGGGATGTAAACTATGACCAAAAAAGCAGGTTTAGACAGGAGTGATTCTTGTAAGAAATCAGAGCTGTCCATTGACAGGAGGTTAGAGACCACAGAGTAGAATGTGGGGGACTGCAAAGTCAGGAGGAGAAAAGTCACACTTAAGAAACAAAGCTCAGTGGGAGCTGAATGAAGAAATCCAGATGTTCAGCAAGAAGGACTGATAAGGTACCCAACAATTATGTGTATGTGGAGGGCAAGTATGTACATGTGAATACAGATGCCTAAAGAGCCCAGAAGCATTGAATCCCTTGGAGTAGGAATGACAGGCAGTTGGAAGCTACCCGACATGGGTTTTGGGACTCAAACTCAGATCCTCTGCTTTTAACCACTGAGCCGTCTCTCCAGCTCCTTAATAGATGTTATTGAGATGTGATTAACAGACCATTCAATTCAGCCTTTTAAAAAATATACCTCAAGCCAGCACACCTTTTATCCTAGCATTGAAGGCAGAGGCAGGTAGATCTCTGTGAGTTCGAGGCCAGCCTGGTCTACAGAGCAAGTTCCAGGACAGCCAAAGCTCCACAGAGAAACCCTGTCTCAAAAAATAATATATATATATTATTTTTATATATATATCGGGTTTTTTTAACCATTGTGTAACCATCACCATTATCTAAGTCCAGAACATTTTGATTGCCTCTAAAGGAGGCTCCAGATCCATTATCAGTCACTCCTAATCTTCTGTCACTCAGCCCCTGGCATCCTCTAATCTGCCTTCTATCTCTATGGATTTGTTTATTCCAGACATGGCATAGAAATGGTATGTGACCTTTGCTGTCTGGCTTCTTTCAGTGAACATAATTGTTTCAAGGTTCATCTATGTTGGAAGTGAACCAGTCCTTCATTCCCTCTTATGGCTGACTAATATTTCATTGTATGCATATACTATAATTTCTCTTTCTGTTCTTTTGAGACAGGCATGTATCATCACATCTGACTTATTATAAATGCTTTTTAACTATATATTCATTGTATGTAATGATAGGTTTCATAAAGATGTGTTTGTTTGTTTTTCTGAGCCAGGGTCTCACTATGTAGCTCTGGCTTTCCTGGAACTCACTATACAAACCAGGCTGGCCTCTGCCTCCCAAGTGCTAGGATAAAAGGCATGCATCACTATGCTCAGCTTTCATAAAGACATTTTCATTCAGCTATATCATGCACTCTGACCATATTCACCTCCTGTTACATTCTCCTGTCTCTCTCCCTGCCCCTGTTAGTTTCCGTTTTCATAAATTTTAGAGAACATGATATTTGTCTTTCTGAGTCCAGTGTGTTTTGCTTAGTATGTTGATTTCCAGTTATATCCATTTTCTAGCAAATGATGTAATTTCAATTTCTTTATGGTTGAATAAAACTCCATTTTATATATGTACCACTTTTTCATTTTCTATTCATCTATTGATGGACATCTAGGCTGATTGCATTTCTTGGCTATTGTGAATAGTGCAGCAATAAACATGGATGTGCAAGTATCTCTGTGGTAGGACTTAGAGTCCTTTAGGTGTTTGTCCAGGAGTGGTACAGATATGTCATATGGAAGTTCTATTTTCAGTTTTTTTTTAAGGATCCTCCACACTGATTGACATAGCAGCTGCACCCATTTACATTCCTGCACAAAAGAAAGGAAAGCGGTTCACCTTTCCCTACAGCCTCCCAGCATTTGTTGTCATTCCTTTTTTTGTAAGTTTATGTTTGGTTTTTGAACTTTCACTATAGACTAGAATCACCTCGAACTCACAGAGATCTGCCTGCCTCTGCCTTCCAATTGCTGGGATTAAAGGCATGTGCCACCATTGCCTGGCAGACTTTATTTTTTTTTTAAGACAGGGTTCTCACTTTGTATCTCTGGTGGGCCTGGAACTTGATGGTAGCCATCCTCTGTAGGATGATGGAGTTTGGTATAGTTTTTACTTCCATTTCCCTGGTAGCTAGGGTGTTCAACATTTTTCTTTATTTTTTATTTATTATTTATTGTGTGTGCATGTGTATGATGTGATAGACACATGCCACACAGAATGTGTGTGTGTGTGTGTGTGTAACTGGATTGCTTGTAGTTTTGTTTTGTTTGGTTTGGTATTTAGTTTTGCTGTTATTTTTAGACAGGGTCTTACTATGTAGCTTTGGCTGGTCTGGAGCTCGCTTTGTAGACCAGGATGGCCTCAAAAATCACAGAAATCCACCTGCCTGTAGCTCCAAGTACTGAAATTAAAGGTGTGTGCCACCATGCCCAGCATGATTTTTTTTTTTTTGAATCAGGATCTCATGTAGCTAAGGCTGGCCTGGAATTCACTATGTAGCCAAGGAGGGCATTCAACTTCTGATCCTCATCTTTGTCTTCCCAAGTGCTGGGGTTTCAGGAGTGTATCCTCATTCCAAGGTACAAAAGGTATTTGATTCATTTAGAATTGTTCTATATAGGCAAGAGATAGGGATCTAGTTTTGTTCTTCTACGATATACACTTCAGTGTCTTCACCCATTACCAAACAGGCTAATTGTTTCCACCTTTTGGCTATTATGAAGAGCACTACTGTGAACATTCCATACAAGATTCTGTGTGAACTCATGTTTTTGTTTCTCCTGGCTATATAGCTAGAAGAGGAATTCCTAGGTCCTTTGGAAATTCACTGTTTAACTTTGTAAGGAACTGCCAAGTGCTTTTCTATTTTCATCTCCTTCCAGCCATGGGTGGGGGGTCCTACTTCTCACCTGGCCAATGTCTGCTCTTAACTCCCATTGCTCCAGCTTCCCTAGTCAGGATGACATATTTACTTATTTATTATGATAGTAGGATGAGGAAGTACTCATAATGCTACACACATGTAGAAGTCAGAAGACAACTTTTGGGAGTTAGTTCTCAACTTCCACCATACAGATCCTGGGGGTCAAACTTGGGTCATCAGGCTTGCTGGTTAAGCACCTTTACCAGCTGAACCACCTCACCAGCCCACCTTATTGCTCTTTATATATCTTTAATTTTTTTTGAGAAAATGTTCCACACTATTGGCCCTGAACTTGAGGCAATCCTTCTTCCTCATCCTTCAGAGTATTGAGATTATAGGTATGTGCTACCACACCTGATTGATATATATCAATCCTGCCTCTACAACCAAATGCTAGATTGCTCTGGACTAAGAAAAGTTTTAGAGGACTATACCTTTACTAGCATGTGGTTTACAAGCATTTTTTCCCAGTCTGTATTGTTGCCTTTGCACTTTGCTGATGATGTCCCTCAGTGCTCAAAAGTATTTATTTTGAAGTTCAGGTTGGTTTGTTTTTCTTTAACTACTTGTGTTTCTAGTCTCACGGCTAAGAAATCGAATCTAAGAACAAGTTTTACCCATTTTCTCCTGTGAGTCAGTCAGTTTTTATTTATGCTGTGAGGTGGAGAACATACGTGTTTCTGTACATCTATCATAACATGGTATGCACAATGCTCATCTTTTCCATGGTAGCTCTGTGACTTTCCACTGTCTCTCCTACCTCCAACCTTGGTTTGTAGACTCAGAAGCCATGAAGAAGGCAGCCTTGGAAATGAAGGAGGAGGAGCTGGTTAGTGAACGCACAGAAGCCTTCACCATTGCCCGAAACCTCCTCACAGCTGCTGCAGATGCCACCGAGAGGATCATGTCATCCTACAAGGAGGTAACCCCAGTGCTGCTCCCACCCTGCCTGCTCTCCCACTCCCAAACTAGTTGAAGTTGAGCCCATGTCACCCTCCTTATAGGTGACAGAGCTGGCTGGCTACACAGCCAGAGTGTATGAGATGTTCCAGGTATTCGAAGATGTCCAACACTGTCGTTTTAAGAGGACCGGGGATCTAGAGGAGGCTCAGGCTAGGCCTGGGGCCATGGTAAAGTCTGGTGTCCGTGTAGAGGGGCCCCTGAAGATCCAAGGTAAGGTACCCTCGGTGCAGAGTGCTTCCTCTGCCTTCCTACCCACTGCTTTGTCTCTTAACATTACCACCCCAACACTCAAGGAACCCTGTATATATTGTCTCATCCACTCAGCACTCATTGCCAGAAAGATCATTGAAAACTAGATCACTTGGGAGGGGGCTGGCCCAGCAGCCTGCATTCTCCAAGCACTGGCTACCAGTTTGGCTGCTGACACACCCTCCCAAGTATGTTGGTCTGGGTTACCAGTTAAGACAGAAAGGGTTATGGACTCTCAGTGCTGGGTATCTTATACCCACACAGATAAATCAAGGCAATGAGGGATGCGGATACATGTATGTAGTTCAGTAGTAGAGTGCTTACCTAACAAAAATGAGACCTTGGGTTCATTTCCCAACACTGCAATAAAATAAAAGGCTTGCATGGCTAGGGATATAGCTCAGTTAGTGTTTGCCTAGCATACACAAGGCCCTTGGTTCAATCCGTACTACCACATAAAGCTGCCATGGTGGTGTCCAGTTTAGCATTCTGTCTAAAATTAAATAAATGAGTAAGTAAATAAAATATTTACGTTCATAAGTGATAGCTAATGCCTGTAATCCCAGCACTTGGGAGGCTGAGGCAGGATTGCTGCATATTCAAGGCCAGTGAGGGCTATAGTATAAGCCCCTGTTTCAAAAACAAACAGAAAAAAAAAGAAGTCAAGGCAGAGTGCAAGCACAAAAGAAATCCCAGCCAGCTGCTAGTTCACAGGAGTCAGGGTACTGCAGCAGTGGAGCTCAGGCATTGTAGCTGATCTTACAATGTTGCCAAAAGGGGTTGTCACAGGGCAAGAGTACCCACTCAATGCCTCGGATTCCAGAGGACCAAAAGGTGGCAGCTTAGGGCATGCTACTTGACTCTGGGGTTATCAACTTGTTGGAAGACCTCTGGTTTTACATGGGGCCCCATACTATTTGAGAACTTAGGGCCTACTATTGAGGTAGGTTAAGCCTGTGCCAAGGGAACTGGGGTGAGCATCAGGGCACAGGAAATCAGAAAAATGCTGTGCCCCTATCCTTCCGTGCCTTCTCTCTACAGGCCAGGTGGTAGATGTGGAGCAGGGGATCATCTGTGAGAACATCCCCATCATCACACCCACAGGAGAGGTGGTGGTGGCCAGCCTCAACATCAGGGTAGGTCAAGTGGAGGAGCATGCCCAACCTGAAGTGCTAACCAGTCTGGACCAAGTAGCTGGGGACAGGGTACACTTCCCAGTTTATCTGGCCACCTGCATCTGTGAACCCTAACCCTTGGCATCTCGCTTAGCTGTGCTAGCAGTGACATTGTCCTCAGGTCTGCGTGGCAGATGGGCCAAGGTCAAGCTGAGAGACTAACGTGTCTCTGACCATGAGTTCTGAAGCAATAATGTGAGTGCTGATAAAAGAGACTAACAATTACCAGGGTTGTCCAAGGGTTACCAAAGTACTCCTGGTTTGATCATTTGTTCATCCTATCAGGCTTCCCTGAACTCTGGGCTATTAGAAACCAAAGATAAATCAGAGACTAGGATGCCCTTAAAAATTACCCACTGCTTGGTGTGGTGGTGCACACCTTTAATCCCAGCACTCAAAAGGCAGAGGAAGGCAGATATCTGTGAGTTCAAGGCCAGCCTGGTCTACAGAGTGGGTTCCAGGACAGCCAGAGCTACATAGTGAGACCCTGTCTCAAAAAAAAAGCAACTAAATAAATAAATAAATTTAAAGAGTCTCTAGTTAGACTCTGATGCAAAGTATAATAAATACCACCAAAAGTTGATCATCATTTGATAAGAGGAATCCCAGTGAAGCTTTTCCTCAAAGCATAGGAGGTAGATAGGTGGACACAACTTGAGTTAGGGGCTAAGGGACAAAGGGACCTGGGCCTGCAGTGTCCCAGCAAGGGAGGAAGCTAGAAAGATGAAAGAGGAAGTGGACTATCAGACCCCTGCCTTCACTGAGGGGTTGGCTGGGCCTGGAGTGGAGGAAGAAGGGCAAGATCCTAGAAAACCAGTTGAGTACATACAGCACATGTCCCTTCCCTAAACAGCATAACATAATGGTATGGTCCCTGATGGACCCAAGGTAGGTAGTTTCCTGCCTTGCCCAAGGAAGCAAAGATACTGCAGCCTGGGTGAACAAATTGAACCTGAATGGAGAGCAAGACTGCCAAGGAATCAGGTGGAAGAGTAGGGCTGGGGCCCTGAGATAGCCTGAAACCCTCTTGCCACTCCTATCCTCCAGACCAACTGTCCTATGCTAGTGAGTCTCCTGGGACTGCCCTAAACAAGCCCCCTGGACTGGGCAGCATTATCACCAGAAATGGACTCTTTCCATATTCTTGAGGCCAGAAGTCTAGCTTCAAGGACTAAGGTGGATTCCTTCTTGGAGAGAATGTGCACCCCAGGCCTTGCCTGACTTCTAGTTCACTGACAGTCCTTAATGTTCCTGGGTTTCTGCTGTGTCACCCTACTCTCTGCCTCTTTCCTCACACACATACACACCCCTCTGTGTGTGTCTATTTGAATCTTACTTCTTTATAAGGACCCCAGCTATGTTGAATTTAACCCACTCTCCTCCAGTATGCCTTAGTGTCCATTTAGCTAATTTTATGTGCAATGGCAGGTCCCACTCTGAGACAGTAGGACATAGTACTTCAGATAAATTCAGGGTACACAGGTCAACCTATCACATTGCTTAAGGTAAATCAAAGACCAGAACCTGGATCTTCCAGGGAGCCCCATGCAGCAACACCCTTATCACTTGCAGATAAGGAACCACCTACACTAAAAAGGAAGGGACTGAGGATAGTAGTGCTGGGGATAGTCATGCCATGTCTACTGCAGGGTGCTGTGCCTCCTCTGTGACCCATTCTCTCTGACTAGCTAGCAGTGACACTAAATGGACTAACCCCTCCTTCCTGCCACTGCTGCCAGAACTCCAGTGCTCAGCTACTCTGGGGTCTAAAAGCCAATGAGGCCCCTGTGTTTGGTTTGTGCTATCGAAGCATGTTAGGGCCTTAGGGGAAAGAATCAAGTCTTGTCCATTCCCCTATATCCTAGACCTGGCATTCAACTGACGCTCTGCATACTGGACCCCATCCCTGTGGCCTTGTAGTCACTTGCCAAGAAATCAAGAGTGTACTTGGTATGGTAGCACACGCTTAAAATCTCAGCCCCTAGGATTCTAAGGCAGGAAGACTGTGTTCCAGACCAACCTGGGCAACATAGCAAGATCCTTCCCACATGCCAGCCTTATATATAGGAAACTAGCTTGCTTGCTTTTCTCCCCTCCTTCCTATCTTACTCACTTTCTTTCTTTCCTTTCTTCCTTCCTTTCTTTCTTTTTTGAGACAGGATCTCATGTAATTCAAGTTGGCCTTGAACTTACTGTGTAGCCAAGGATTTAAGTTGAATTGAACTTGAACTTATGATCTTGCTGTTTATACCTCTCAAGTGCTAGCATTACAAGCATACAAGGTTTATGTGGTACTGAGGATTGAACCCATGGTCTGTGTGTGCTCAGCAAGCACCCTACCAACTGAGCTGCATCCCCATCCCAGATATAGAAAGCTTTGTTGAGACTGGGAAGGAGGCCACAGTGATTCAGGGTATGGGGAAAGAGACTGAAGCTTTGGATACCATGCCCTGATTCTTCCACAGGTGGAAGAAGGCATGCACCTGCTCATCACAGGCCCCAATGGCTGTGGCAAGAGCTCACTGTTCCGAATCCTGGGTGGACTCTGGCCCACATACAGTGGTGTACTCTATAAGCCCCCACCCCAGCGCATGTTCTATATCCCTCAGAGGTGAGTAAACCCATTCCCTGTGTCTTCTCCACCTTTTCCCATCTGTGCATCAGGAGAGTCTGCCTCTCAGGAAAAGATGCCAAGATATTATACCATATGCCAATAGTCAGGAACACAAACTAGTCCTGTCCATTTCAGATCAGGATGGTGGTTCTTACACTCATGCCCACAAATGGGGGTGGTACACATACTTGTGTCCATGCACATAGGTGAGTATATGGACATGTTAGCTGGGGGACATGTTAGCTGGGGGAGTACCTGGGTGTGGTGTGTCAACAGTTGGAAAGATTTGTGGCCACGGCCACTCCAGAGCACAGAGCACTGCTGGGAAACAGGGCTACCTTGCCCCAGTGGACATGCAGCTTTCCCACAGGCCCTACATGTCCGTGGGCTCCTTGCGTGACCAAGTGATCTATCCTGATTCTGCGGAGGATATGCGGAGGAAGGGCTGTTCGGAGCAGCAGCTGGAAGACATCCTGGGCATCGTGCATCTCCGCCACATCCTGCAACGGGAGGGAGGTAGGGACAGGGCATGGGGTCACAATTCAGTCACCCTTTGTCCCAAGACTTTAATGGGGAACCTGTTGCCAACCTACCTCTGGCCTCTTCCCCTAATGGCAGGGGACATGAGTTACCTCAGCATCCAGGAGTTCAAAGTGCCTGCCAGGGAGAAAGGGTAAACAGGTTGCTTGGGTGCCAAGAAAAGTAGCAGAGCACTTGCCTCATTGGCTACCTAGGGAACCCTCTGTAAAAAAACAAAAAAAAAAAAAAAAAGAAGAACAACAACAACAACCTAGGACAATCACCTTGTTAGGGAGCCAGATGACAGCAGGATAGGTTGCAACTGGGCCTTGAGGTACAAAGATATTGGCTGCCTCTGTGAGATACTGGAAGCTCTGAGGCTTTAGGTAACCAACTGATAAGATCAGTTTTGCATTTGAGCAGGCTGACCCTTCTGTAGGTAGGGTAGGATGGCCAGGTATATGTTTCTGTTTGTACAGAGGCTTGGAATGTGAGTGGAGGGCAGAGTCATGGATGACTCTGAGGAAAGCCCCCAAGTGGCTAGAGAAGGTGTTTTTGAGAAGAGAAAGCTTATTGAGGAACATCTCCTGCAGTGCCCTGTGGTTGCTCTGAATGACTAGTACCTGTAGCCAACAATTGAACCTCTTAGGATTGAATTCAACTCTGAATAACAGTACCATGCTAGTCGCCATAATGGTTCAAGTCATTTACAGGTTTATTCCACTGTGCTGTAAATCCCAAAAGAAACAAGCCACAGTTTGGGGGACAGAACGGTTCACTATAGGCTGTAGGGATACAAGCTCTTATACCAAGTTATGATGCTGTGCATGACTTCCATTCCTAAAGTCACCGTATTACCAATATGACTGCAGTAGCCATCACATCCAGTCACAGGCTGTAGGATGGAGGAAAGTGGTGAAGGACAAAGACAAAGAATACTTGCCTTCTGTCTTCCCAGGAAGGTTCCATGGGTACTACATGTATGACAGTGGCTAGAATTAGCACCATGGTTACCATTCACAAGACGACAAGCTAAAATGTTTCACATGCCCTAAGGAAACTTCTAGTCATATAGAAACATAGGGTGGATGATAGGAGAGGAAATGCCACTTCTACCACACAGTCCTGACAAGTCACCCTCCTCACATGCTCACTCAGTCCTCTATGCCAGCATAGTAGCACCAGGCCATGGGATATGACCCAGTTCCACTGGTGAGTGGCCTCTGTTCTGAGGAGAACATTCTAACCATCTCTGAGGCTCTTTGCCCTCAACATCTGCTGCCTGCTGAGGGCAGTGTTGACAGGTTCTTTATTGTCAACCCATTAGGTATCCTGAGGCTGCCATGACTAAGTGCCACAGACTCACAGACTTCAACAGAGAACTTTGTTTTCTAGCATTCTGGAGACAAATTTGGGTGTGGCAAAGCTAGCTCCTTCAGAGACTATGAGGAAGAACACATCAAGGGACTCTGCTCAGCTGGTAGCCAGCCAACTTTTCACTGTGTGTCTTCACATCTTTTCTCTATACATGTCTCTGTGTTTAAATGTCCATTCTCTATAAAGGCACCAGTCACACTTGATTAGGGTCCACCCAACCTGAGCACATTTGGAAAGACCCTCTCTCCAAATCCTTCTGGAGGTAGGACTGTAGCATATTTTATGTGGGAAAGACAGTTCTTGTTCCAAGTCTTTTAGTTATTAGTGTTATAGGCAGATGAGGACACAGAGCAGAAGTCTGCAGCTGGACAAGTTCAGCCAGGGTCAAAGTGCCCTGGCTTTCCATCAGCCTCACTTAACCCTGGTCCTACCCTGACTCTCACTGGGTACCTGTTGAATTGAGCTGAGCCCCTCACCTCCTGCCCAGGTTGGGAGGCTGTGTGTGACTGGAAGGACGTCCTATCTGGAGGTGAGAAGCAGAGGATTGGCATGGCCCGCATGTTCTACCACAGGTGAGCACTGTAGTGTCTTTCAAGGACATTTAGTGATTTGGATCCAACAAGGAAGGGAAAATGGGTGCTCCCAGTAGGAGGAAGACAACTACATGGAGGACTCTCACCCCTCATCCCAGTACAACAGGGCCATGGTTCACAAATGGCTGGCCATGGGCTGGAAGTTGGACAGTGGTGGGGAATCCACAGCTTTTTTCTTCACCCACTCCCACCCTAAGGCCAAAGTACGCCCTCCTGGATGAATGCACTAGTGCTGTGAGCATTGATGTGGAAGGCAAGATCTTCCAAGCAGCCAAAGATGCTGGTATCGCACTACTGTCCATCACCCATCGGCCCTCCCTATGGTAGGTGCTCTTGGAGTTGTGAGTGGGGCGGCCACCTAGGTGGGAAAGCACCTGTGACAGCCTTCCATCTCTCTCCTGTGCAGGAAGTACCACACACACTTGCTGCAGTTTGATGGGGAGGGAGGCTGGAAGTTTGAGAAGCTGGACTCGGTAGCCCGCCTGAGCCTGACTGAGGAGAAGCAGCGCCTGGAGCAGCAGCTGGCAGGCATCCCCAAGATGCAGGGGCGCCTTCAGGAGCTCCGCCAGATCCTTGGCGAGGTTGCAGCCCCAGTTCAGCCCTTAGTCCCAGGTGTCTCCACTTGACTGGGGACCTTGTCCCCAGCCCCTACCCTTTTCCGGGCTCTCGGATCACATGAAGGAAGCTGCAGCTCCCACCCTCCCTTCACTCCCCTGCATGCCTTCCTCCTTCCTAGCCAACTGCCTGCCTTCTCTGAAGATCCCACTCGCGAGCAAGTGGATATGAATGACACTCTGCTTCTTCCCGTCCCCATCCCACCTTCACCCTGAGATCTGCTCCACGAACTGTGCCCTGTTAGGGTAATGTGTCCTTTACTTTTCTCTGGGGAGGGGTGGAGGGTTTGGAAGGCCCTAGTCCTGACCCTACAACAGTATGGCTGAGCCATAGGAAGTAAGCAGGAGCTGCCCCCTTACTGCCAGCAGCCAGAATGTTTGGCAAGCCTGGTGGTTGTGAAACCCAAGTCCTCATTGTTCCTTTGATCTGTCCCTTTGTTGCCATTTCTTTGGGTGGCCAGCCAATGCCCCTGTCCCACAGGACACCCCCTCATGGAAACAGCCGAATGAGGCATAGGATCAGACAAGGTCCAAAGTGTGCCCTTCCCCATGTTAACCCCCAGAACAGCACAGTGTTCCTCCTGAACCATGAGAAGAGTGTAGCCCTGGCCTTCCCACTCCTCCACCTTTTACAACCTAATTTATTTGACTCCCAGTTTATAGCTGTCTGGATTGCCAACATGAGCACCCTGCCAGCACAGGAGGTCACTGGTGGTCCCTTTGGTCTGCCCAGCCTCTGGTGCCAAACCTGGCCCCTCACCAGCCTACACTGCCAGTTGCCACTGGGGGTGCCCTCTGCCGGCTAGGCAGGAGTGAGGGCACAATGTTCCCAGCTCAGTGCCAAAGAGGGGTCATAGGAGGTGCTGTGTCTGCTCAGCCAGCCCTCAACAAGAGGGAGACCCCACACACACTGCCACTGTGTGCCTTTCCTGGGCCCTCAGCCCTCTGGCTGGGTGCCCCCCACAGCCCCCTCAGTAAAAACCTCTGGAAAGTACACTCCTGCCTCCTGGACTTGGTGTCTGGTAGAAGTTCTGGGGAGTAAGCTAGGCATGGTGGCGCACGTCTTTAATCCCAGCGCTGGGGAGGCAGAGGCAGGTGGGTCTCTATGAGTTCAAGGCCAGCCTGGTCTACATAGTGAGTTCCAGGACAGACAGGACTACATAGTGAGACCCTGTCTCAACAAACAAACAAACCCCAGCACTCAGGAGACAGAGGCAGGCAGGATAGGGAGGGGCTGCTGTGGGCAACTCTAGTAAAGCTAAGCTGAGTTCCCATACTGCCCAGCATTCCCACCCTTGTGTTATACCAAAAGAACCAAGAACAGCCATTCAGTTAGAAACCCATGGTGTAGATTCTACACAATATTCACAGAAGCCTGAGTGCCCACATATGGACAAATGTGGCATATCCATACAGTAGAATATTATTGGGCCATAAAGGTAGTGAAGCAGTGACACATGCTACAACATGCACAGACCTTAAAGACATGATACTGACAAAGAAACCAGACACTAATATCCAAGTATTATATGATTTCATTTAAATGAAATTATCCAGAACAAACAAATCCATAGCAACACAAAGCAAATGTACAGCTGCCAGGGCTGGGGAATTGGAAGAATGGATATGGGAAGAGATTGTTTAATTAACACAAGGTTCTTTTGGGGGAAAGTGATGAACATGTTCTGCAACAACAAAGGTAATGGTTATACAATATTGCAACTTTCCAAACCACGGCTGAACCGTGTACTTCAAAGAGACTTCTGTGACTTTCTCCACAAAATAAGTAGATAATAGATGGGTATAGATAGACAGATACATAGATTGCTATTAAGATAGAGAAATAGGTGATGGATTAGTAGAACAATAAGTTACCCAGACATGGTAGCTCAGACCTATAATCCCAGCATTCAAGCTGTTGAAGAGGATTGGCACAAGTTTGAGGCCAGATGGGCTACACAGTGTATTCCAGGTAAGCTAGACCCAAGAGTTACACCCTTTCTCAGAAAGCCAAAAAGAAAAAACTATGCTAGTAGATTCATAGATGATACAGGAAACATGACTTATAGATAGAAAATAGATGGTAGATAGAATGAGAAAGAGAGTTCTTTGCTTTTCTGCTAAACACTCTGACCCACCAGGTGATGGTGGCACATGCCTTTAATCCTAGCACTTGGGAGGCAGAGACAGGCAGATCTCTGAGTTCAAGGCCAGCCTGGTCTACAGAGCAAGTTCTAAGACAGCCAGGGTTACACAGAAAAATCTTGTCTTGATAAACTTAAAAAAATATATATACTGACCAAAGCAATTTTGAGGGGAGAGTTTATTTGGCTTATACTTCCAACAGTCCATCATTAAGGGAAGTCAGGACAGGAGATCAAACAGGAATGGGAGCAGAAACCATGGCGGGGAAAGCTGCTCACTGGCTCACCCTCTGGCCTATACTCAGCTAGCTTTCTTATAGAACCTAGCCCTACCTGCCTAGAGATGGTACTGCCCACAGTGGACTGGGCCCTCCTACATCAATTAACAATCAAGAAAGTGCCCGCCGGGCGGTGGTGGCACACTCCTTTAATCCCAGCACTTGGGAGGCAGAGGCAGGTGGATCTCTGTGAGTTCGAAGCCAGCCTGGGCTACCAAGTGAGTTCCAGGAAAGGTGCAAAGCTACACAGAGAAACCCTGTCTCGAAAAACCGAAAAAAAAAAAAGTGCCCATAGGTGTGCCCAGAGGCCAATCTGGCTGAGGTAATCCCCCAAGAGACTCCCTCAAAGAACTCTGGGCTGTGTTAAGTTGACCCATGAAGCTAACTAGGAAAGATAGATATGATAGATTATAATAGTAGATAATAGATAATAGATAGTGTTGTTGTCAGTGTTCTATTGCTGTGAAGAAACACCACGACCAAGGCAACTCATAAAGCATTTAATTGTGGTTGCTTACAGTTTCAGAGGTTTAGTCCATTATCATCATGGAGGGGAGCATGATGTCATGTAGACAGACATGATGCTGCAGAAGTAGCTGAGAGTTCCACATCTTGGTCCACAGGCAGCTGGCAGAGAGAGAGAGAGGCTGGGCCTGAAATGGACTTTTGAAACCTCAAAGCCCACCTCCAGTGACACACTTTTCCTTCAACAAGGCCATACCTCCTAATGCTTCTAGTCCTTTCAAAGACTGCCACTCCCTGGTGACTAAGCATTCAAATATATGAGCCTATGGGGGCCGTTCTTATTCAAACAAGCACAGATGATAAATAGAAAAAAAAGGCCGGGCGGTGGTGGCGCACGCCTTTAATCCCAGCACTTGGGAGGCAGAGGCAGGCGGATCTCTGTGAGTTCGAGGCCAGCCTGGGCTACCGAGTGAGT